GGGAGCCAGTGGGCGCCGGGGTTCGGGGAGCGCCGTCGGGTTTGCTGTGTGTGGGCGCGTGTCCACCCACGTAGGTGCCCAGGGGGTGCGTCCGCTGTGTGCGTCGGTGATGTCTTTGTGCGCCTGGGGGCGAGTGGCCGCGATGATCTGGGCGGGCTGTTTGCCTAAATGTGAGTGTAAACCGGTGTGTACACATAGGTAAGTGTCTTCTGTGTCAGTGTCCAGGCGTGTGTCTGGTGTGTCTCCAAGAATCTGTGTCTCCCTTGAGTGTGATATATAAATGCCGGGGTGTGTGTGTGTGTGTGTGTGTGTGTGTGTGTGGTTGCAGAGTCTAGGTTTGTGGGACTTGCAAGCTGGCCTCCAGTTGGGGTGTGTGTGTGTATGTAAATGTGTGTACGTGTCTGCTCATAGGCCTGTGCGTCTGTGTCTGAGTCATCTGTGTGTATGTGAATTAGTGTGTGTCTGCATGCGTAGGCCGGACTGTTTATATGTGTATGTCTGTGTGTAAATGAGGGTGTAGGTGTCTGTGCACATAGGTCTGGAAGTGTGTAGTTGTGTCTGTTTCTCTTTGTGTGTGCTAGGGGTCCGAGTGTGTGTCTGGGACGGAGGGGGTCCTTTGTGGGTCTGGTGTGCCGAGCTGTGCTGGCTCTGCAGGTGTGGTTGCCCTAGGGTGTGTGTGTGTCGCTGCCAGTGTGTGTTTGTGTCTGGGTGTGGGAGTGGTGCCGCCCACTTCCCCTGAGTTGGTCACCGACTCTCTCAGGGTGTCTCCAGGGGTCGGGCTCAAGACTCAGGGCCTCTAATTAGCGGCTGGTCTTGAGGCCCAGCACCACCCGCTCCTCTGCAGGCTGCAGTGGGGCCTTTGTCTGCCTGGGTGCAGGGCTGCCTCCAGCCTGCCCAGCCAGATGTGCAGACTCAGAAGAGGCTCGCTGACCCGGGCCCACAGGCGCCTCTGCCTGCCAGACATGACCTCGGCCTCCACATGGAGGTCCAGTGGTGCGTTTGCCCCGGCCTGGTGTGGGAGGTCCAAGTGTGGAGCCACAGGTCCCTCCAGGAGCCCTGGGATGGGACGGAGCCTCAGTTTCCGGGCTCTATCTACAAGGCATTTCCTCCTCAGTGTTGGCCCCCTGGGCTGGCAGCCTCCCTCCTGCCTTCTGGAGTAAAAGGCTTGGGGGGAAATGGCCAAGCCTAGGTACACACACACACACACACACACACACACACACGAGGTCACACATATACACTCACAGGGTCACTTCCATACAGTAATGCGCACACACAGCCCCAAACAGTCCTTGTAAAGCCCTTGCTGACTCCCTGTTGCCCACCAGGCTTGAGACCCCTCCTAACACCATCCCTGGAGCCTCATCTTCTCCCCCACACCCACAGTGCCCTGGACTGTCACACCTCCCAGCTGCCCCTGTCCCTGCCATGCCCTCTCCACACCCCACTCCTCCCCTGCCCAAGCTGAGTCCTTCCATCTCTCACTCCCCACCTGAGCCAGAGGCACAGATAGGCTGGGAGGTCGGGAGGTGGGGCCCAGCTTCAGAAGACAGCCACGAGGACTGAGGCGTGATTTGGGGGGAGGCAGGAGAAGAGGACCAAAGAGAGGTGCTCAGGAAGAAGATGTGGTACCAAGCCTGCGCGGTGCCGGAGAGGAGAGAGGCAGGGCCAACGGGAGGGACGGGGAGGTCCAGCTTTACTTGCGATGCCCCCACCTGGGGTGGGCAGGGGGTTACGCAGCAGGGGAGTCAGCGCAGCCAGGCAGGATCTTGATTCCAAGGAAGGAGTAGGGGAGAAGGCACAGGAAGAAGGACCTTTGGAGTTGGGGGTGCATCATGACAAGGTCCGAGGGGTGAGGAGGGCTCAGAGAATCCTCAGCCACCCTGAACTCTTCACCCAGCACATCACTGAAGACAGCCCGGTTCCTCTTTTTTGTCCCCCCTGCCCGGGCTCTGCAGAAAGAGCAGCTGAAACCCAGAGAGGCCCATGTAGAGCGCAGCTCAGGGAAGATCCGATCCACACGCAAGGGTTCTCCCCGCGCCACAACGGAACCCCTGAAAGGTAACAGAAAAAAACAAGAACAGGACAGAACATGGAAAAATGTCTGAGTGAGCACCCCATCACTGGAGGGGTCCAAGCATCAGGGGGCATGTGGGCTTCTCCTTCAGCATCTCCGAGGAAACCTGGCTCCCCTCCCTCGCAGCCAGGCTGCCCTGTTTGGGGATCGACTCTCAGACTTGGCCGGACTGCAAAGAAAACAAGACAGTGTGTGATTAAGGGGGATTTTGCACGGAGGAGGAGGAGGGCGGAGACGAGAGGGCGTAGGGGAGGAGGGCTTGGCACAGGGTGGTGGCCCAAAGTGGTGTCTGCAGCAGGCTGGCCTGGGGCAGAGGCCCGAGAAACAGAACTGCCCGGCAGGCCTGAATCTGAAACCAGAAGCAGGACCAGGAGCCAGGCTGGAAATGTGGGCCGGAGGAGAGGCCTCGGAACCCGTGCGAGGGTTTCCAGCCTGCTGGTGAGGTGCCGTGCTACCCCGGGCAGAGGATCTGAACGAGAGAGAGGTGGCAGGGAATTCGGGGGCAGGAGGCCCTCAGTATGCGCCTTGGCTTTCATCTGCACTGACCAGCACCCGGCCTTCCCTGCCCTGGCTGAGCCAGGCTCCTCCCTGCTCCTCCAGGCCTTCCCCTTGCCCTTCCCTGCCTGGTGCACCCTCTCCTGTCTCTTCCCACACTCGCATCCTTCAGACCTCATGTCACAGTCTGAACTTGTGTCTCTCCATTTACTTGTCTGTCATTTCCAGGAGGTCCACAGAGCCCCAGGAGGGATGAGGGTCAGTCCATATCATGTGCAGCTGCCGTCCCCAGCCCCCTTCCCCAGCCCAGCACTGTCATTATCCAATAAAGGAAGGGCTACCCCTTTCTGGCCATGTGACCCTGGGCAATCTCTATCACCCCTCATTTACAAAAGGAGAGTGGGGAACGGGGACCTCATAGTTACTTTGGAAATGAAATGCCACGGTGTGCAAAGCCATGCTGGCACACGAGGGGGCGGGGGTGATGCGCACAGGGTCCTGGTCCCTGCCAGTCAGCTCTGAGTGTAGGGAGGGTGGGGAGAGGGACTAAGTGAGAAAGGACATTTGGGATCTTCACATGGGGATGTGCCTTGACCATCCTCAGGTGTGGGCGTGAGTGGCTGCAGGTGCCTGTCAATCTGGCAAGGGGCCTTGGCATTGGCTGTGCTGGGCAATAAGACCAGGTCCCCTCCTGCCCCGGCCCCCCTCCAGGAGCCCAGTGATGCTGCGCAGGCTGTGAACGGGGAGGGCAGCACTGCGGAGGCTGCCAGCAGCCGGGGCCGGGAGAGACATGTGGACACGTAGCCCCTATGGCTTCCGCCTGCCAGATCCTCCGCTGGGCCCTCGCCCTGGGGCTGGGCCTCACCTTCAAGGTCACACATGCCTTCCGATCTCAAGGTAGGAGTGGTCCAAGGGTGGCCATGGGAGCAGGAAGTGAAGGTGGCCAGGGGGTCCTGGGTGGAAGGGCCGGGGTTCATGTAGGTTTAGCTCTGCCGTCAGGGATCTGGATTGGGGAGTTGGTGAGGCCAGTGTCACCTACTTTAGGAGCTAGGTCACAGGGTCAACCAGAGCCTCTGACCCTCACCCACAGATGAGTTCCTGTCCAGTCTGGAGAGCTATGAGATCGCCTTCCCTACCCGCGTGGACCACAACGGGGCACTGCTGGCCTTCTCGCCACCTGCCCTCCGGAGGCAGCGCCGGGGCACAGGCGCCACAGCCGAGGCCCGTCTCTTCTACAAGGTGGCTGCACCCAGCACCCACTTCCTGCTGAACCTGACCCGCAGCCCCCGTCTACTGGCAGGGCACGTCTCCGTGGAGTACTGGACCCGAGAGGGCCTGGCCTGGCAGAAAGCTGCCCGGCCCCACTGCCTCTACGCCGGCCACCTGCAGGGCCAGGCCGGCAGCTCCCATGTGGCCATCAGCACCTGTGGGGGCCTGGTGAGCTGAGGATTCTGGGAAGCAGAGGGAAATGCCCACACTTTTTTGGAAGTTGTGAAAAATACCTTCTAAATGTAGATCAGCCAAGGAATCCTAGTGGGACCTTTTCTAAAGTAGTCAGAGCTACTGATAATCAATACTTTGGGAAGGTAGCTAAAGCAGTACTTAGAGGAGAATGAGTAGCCTCAGGTCAGGCTGAAGATGAGTGATGTGAACATCATCTCAAGAAATTAGAAAAGTAATAGTGAAATACACCCAATAAGATGGAAGGATGGAAATGGCAAAGACTGACCTGAGAAACAAGAACCTGATCCGAGCTTTCTCTCCCACTTCCCTGCCCCCAGCATGGCCTGATCGTGGCGGATGAGGAAGAGTACCTGATTGAGCCCTTGCAAGGTGGGCCCAAGGGTCCCCGGGGCCCAGAGGAAAGTGGCCCTCATGTGGTATACAAGCGTTCCTCCCTGCGCCACCCCCACCTGGACACAGCCTGTGGAGTGAGAGGTACACCTGGCTCTCTGGGAGCGGGCAGAGGGGCCACACATCATCCTTCCCCTGAGGTAGAGGCCGGCAGCAGTGCGTTTTCATCCACAAGGTCAGCAAGCAGCTCCCCCACGGGGAAAGGGGAACTGTTGAGAAGAAGATAGGGGCCTGAATTCCGGAGCTGCACCCACCTGCAGGCAGTGGGGCAGCAGGATGTTGCAGCCAGGTAGCGGGGCCTCAGACAGGAGCCCATCATGCCATCATCTGCTGGCCCAGCCGTCAGGCAGCCAGACAGGGGGCGGTGTAAAGCCGTTCCATCTCTAGGATTAGTGTCTCATCAGACAGTTAAGAAGTCGGGTGGTTGTATCAGACCCGAGAAGGGTTCCGTCAAAATGCATCAGAAGGCCTCAGGTACGGAATTGTTCAAAAGGTCAGATTTGCCAGGCACGGTCATCGCAGCTTCCTGGGGGGTGCTGGTCACAAGTCTGAAGCCAGCTTGGGCAACTTAGCGGGATCCTGACTCAAAATAAAAAGGACTGGGGATGTGGCTCAATGGTAGAGCACTTCCTAGCATGTGCAAGGCCCTGGGTTCCATCCTCAGTGATTGACAACCAGACCAGTAGAAGAACCATTCACCACCAGACATCTAGAGAAAGGGAGAATAGGAGAACTATATAGTAAGTGGATATTTGCCAGCACGATTGATCATCTAGTTAGAAAACAGATCGATGCTCAGTGGAAAAGCACAAGAGCGAGATGGTGAATGAGCTGAAGGATCTGACAGTCTGCGGATGGTATACCATGGCAGACATAAAACCACAGTCAGAGGTACAAGGAGAAAGTTGGGGAGTGTCACGATTTGGTCACTGAGACATTCTAGCTATAGTGTGGTCAGGCAGTTGGGCTGTTCTAGAGCCAGCCTGGCCTGTTGGCCGGTGCCTTGGTTGGAAAGTTGCTGTCGGAAGCCCAGGAAGTTACGCAAGCACCCGGTTCAGACGGCCTGCTCCCTGAGCGCTCCCTGCCCGTGCGCTGGAGCTGCAGGATTGTCGGAGAGTTGTGCCGTCATAACGGTTGTTATGGGACACTGGGCAGTTACTCAGCCAACCAGCTTGGTAGTAGGACAGCTGTCCTAGTGTTCCGGTAGCCACTTGGGCGAGGGGGTGGTCTGGTTGCCAAACAGCTGGACTGTTGTACAACCAAACCGTGGAGTCGTCACACTGTTATTCAGCCTAAGGGTTTGACAGAGGGACGGACAACGGCGGTGTCGGCCCAAACATTCAAGGAGTGGGTCACTTCAGAACCAGATAGAGAAAGGGTGGTGAGCAGCCTGTGGGGCAGATGGACCCTCAAAGAGAGAACAGGCAGGAAAACAACCAGGAATCGTCCACCCAGACTGTGGAGCGGAGGCACAACCAAAGGGGCTTTGTAGACAGAGGTCAGCAGCTGAGTGTCCCATCAGCAACGGGGGCTTAATGGCTTCACTGGGCCCCCCCCCCAGATGAGAAACCGTGGAAAGGTCGGCCCTGGTGGCTGCGTACCCTGAAGCCACCACCTGCCAGGCCCCTGGGAAACGAGACAGAGCGAGGCCAGCCGGGCCTGAAGCGCTCCGTCAGCAGAGAGCGCTATGTGGAGACCCTGGTGGTGGCTGACAAGATGATGGTGGCCTACCATGGGCGCCGGGACGTGGAGCAGTACGTGCTGGCCATCATGAACATTGTAAGTGCCTCCCCCTTCCTGGGCATGGGGCCCTGGGGACCGGCGGCCGAGGGTCAGGAAAATGGCTGTCACTTTCCCACTCCTAGTCCCTGATATGGGACCAGAGCAGTAGGATGGAGAGGGACAGGGTGAAAATCCAGGACTGCCATCAATGAGGAAAGGCTGAGAGCAGGTGGCCTGGAGCAGAGGCAGCCTGCAGGGACCTAAATCCCAGCTCCGTGGCATTTACAGCCATGGAGACTAAGGCACAGAGAGGTCAAGAGCCCTGCTTGAGATCTGACACAGGAGCCAGAATGGTAGGTCCTCTGGGCATGTAGGTTCTGCATCCATGGATTCGACCCTCCTCAGCTGTGTGCCCTCACTCAGCCAGCTACTGCACCCCCTGCCTGGGCTTACCCATCTGTAAAGTGGGACAATAGTGGCACCCGCTTCATAAGGCTAAGGTGGATTCAGAGAATTGATAGGCACTTAGAACAGGGCCTGGCACAGGGTAGGTAAGTGTTTGCTCTGTATAATAAGAAGCATGCAGCTTGCAGGTACTCGTGAAGGTGAGCAGGACACTCGCAGGCACACATCTGTATGCATGCAGAGTTCTTGCACAAGCGTCTACCTATCAGTTCATAGGGGATGGCTTCCCTCACCCACGCTCAGATACAGCCATCCCTTGGTATCCACAGGTGATTGGCTCCAGGACCCCCCAGATACGAAAGTCCTGGTGTTGAGGTGCCTTATGTAAAATGTCAGGTGTGCATAGCACCTCCGCACATCCTCCCAGAGACTGCAGCTCACCTCTAGATGACTTAGAGTGCTCTATACCAAGGATATGCAAAGTAAAGAGTTGTTGTTCAGGGAATCACCCTAAGGAGAAGAGTCGTATGTGTTCAGTTCAGATGCAGGTTTTTTGTTTTTTTTTTTATCTACTATTTTCTACCCATTGCTCTTAGTCCTAGATCTCAGTCACGGCTGTTGACTTCACCTAGCCTCAATTTCCACAGCTGTAAAATGGGGCTACCCTGCACCTCCTGCAGAGGATCATGGGAGGGAAGCCGTGTAGAGTGCTTGGCACTAGGAGGGCTTGATGAATGGGGTTCTTGTTTCACTGAAGCAGAAAACAAGAGAAAGTTGAGCAGACAGATGAATGGCCCAAATGTCGACATAACATCACCTCTGACACCCTGTGTCCTGCCCCGCCCTGGGCTCCCCTCCCTCCCTTGGGCTTTCTGAGTTTCCTAAAACCTGCCTGGATTGGGGGGGGGGGTTTCCAGGTGGGATGATGATGGCCCACACTCCAAGGTCCCTGTGCAGCCTGCCTTCCACCACTTGCCCATTTGCCCCGGGACCACTTCCTCCTCCCCTGACCACCATCTCTCTGCTGCCCTCACAGTTCCACCTTCCAATATTGTTGCTTAAATCGGTACCTCCCACTGCTGTGGGATGAGCCAGAGTGCATATTCCTCGGCTGCCTCTGGGCAAATACACTCAAGGCAGTGAGGTGGGGGAGGTGAGCCGGGGTGAAAGGACAAGTAGACAGATAAGCTCAGACAGGATGTCACAGAGACAGGAGGCAACCCAGACGGGAATCCCACTTAAGGTATGGCCAGCTGTGTGTCCTGCAGCCTCTGTGCCCCGGTTTCCTCATCTATAAAGTCGGGATGAAATGGTTCCCAGTCAGGAAAGGACACATGCCCCAGGCTGCCCCGGGCCCAGCCACACCAGGGGCTTCACGAAAGCAAGCTGCCGTCGCCGTCTCTGCCTCCCGCTTTCCATCCCGGGCTCCTCTTAAGACTCCGTCTCTCTTGTTTCTTGGAGGTCAGGTTGCCAAACTTTTCCAGGACTCGAGTCTGGGAAACATCGTTAACATCCTGGTGACGCGCCTCATCCTGCTCACGGAGGACCAGGTGTGGGGGCGGCAGGGGACACCCCAACCCTCCCAGGCACGCTGCCTGCCATGCCCAAGGTGACAGGCACCCGCGCCCCTCTCTCTTTCTGTCCCCAGCCCACCCTGGAGATCACCCACCATGCCGGGAAGTCCCTGGACAGCTTCTGTAAGTGGCAGAAATCCATCGTGAGCCGCAGCGGCCATGGCAACGCCATTCCGGAGACCGGTGTGGCCAACCATGACACAGCGGTGCTCATCACGCGGTGAGGGGCGGGGAGGACCCAGGACTTGGGCCCAGGGAATGAGTGGACTGAGGGACCAGAAGGGTCACATCTGCCGTGGGATGGAGGGGACGGGAAGGCTGCCAGGAGCCTGAGAATGTGGGGAGGGGGCTGCTGGGCCACCTGGGCCCTACGCATACACTCACTCACCCTCCCGGTCAGTTGGAGTCCCTCACGTACCCCTGCACCCCCAAGGCCAGCGGATTGGCTTCAGCTGTGTGCAGCATGAAGCTTGGGGTGAGAGGCAGACAGTGCCTCCCAGGCAGGACTCACCCCCCAGAGCTGGGCACGGTGGCGCAGGTGGCTCAGGGAGGCAGCCCTGTCCCCTCACTGCCCTGTCCTTCCACAGCTATGACATCTGCATCTACAAGAACAAACCCTGCGGCACACTAGGTACTGGAGTCTCGTGGATCCTGGGCCTCTGTGAGGGGGTCCCTGACCCTGGGGTGAGACCTGGCAGGGTGGCCGGGGCAGCCAGCACAGCCCTGGGCCGCCAGCCTGACCCACGTGCCTGTTTCCCAGGCCTGGCCCCGGTGGGCGGGATGTGCGAGCGGGAGAGAAGCTGCAGCATCAACGAGGACATCGGCCTGGCCACGGCGTTCACCATTGCCCACGAGATCGGGCACACGTGAGGCCAGGGCACTCAGGAGAGGGAGGATGGGGGGAGCTGGGAGGGTCCCTCAGCGCCCCACGGAACCGACACCCCTCTCCCCAGATTCGGCATGAACCACGACGGCGTGGGGAACAGCTGTGGGGCCCGCGGCCAGGACCCCGCGAAGCTCATGGCCGCTCACATCACCATGAAGACCAACCCGTTCGTGTGGTCATCCTGCAGCCGAGACTACATCACCAGCTTTCTGGAGTGAGGATGGACCCACCCGTCCCTCCCAGCGGGTCACAGTCACACGGGGGCAGCTGTGGCAATCAGGGCTGCTCCTCAGGGTCCCTGCCCAGCCAGGTGCGCCCCAGAGCCCCTGGCCTGCAGCCCCTGGGCATGATAGCTGTTCTCCTTCCTGCAGCTCCGGCCTAGGGCTCTGCCTGAACAACCGGCCCCCCAGACAGGACTTCGTGTACCCAACGGTGGCCCCCGGCCAGGCCTATGATGCAGACGAGCAGTGCCGCTTCCAGCACGGAGTCAAATCGCGTCAGTGTAAATACGGGGTAGAGAGAGCCTTCCTGCTTTCCTTCCTGGGAGGGGAGGGGGCCGCGGGGCGGGAAACCCCACCACTGGGCACCCAACCCGGGAAGTGGGGGGCGGGGGAGCCAGCGAAGGGAGGGGTGAGACCCGAGGGAAGACAGAGGTGCCTGGGGTGTACAGTGCCCCAAACAGCCAACAGTAGGAACGAAAATGAGATGCCGATTCTGTGGCTCCCTGATTGGAGGGCTGGGCTGGAGGGACCACCTTCTGTTCAGCACGTAAGTGCCACCCGCAGCCTGCAGCAGGACCAAAGGCCCAAGACCGCTAAGTGGGGAGTCTTAAACTAAACACCCAGACTTGACGAAAAGTCTCCCTAGGAGTGAACCACCTACCTCACTCGGAAAAGAGGCGGGCAGACCCTTCCCTCATCCCCACTGACCATCTCCTGGCTGCCTGGCTAGACAGGCTCTGAGCTTCCTGACCACTCCCCACTCCCTGGAGGCTCAGACTCTCAAAGCTCCATGCGCAGGAAGTGAGCTAGGGCTGGGCTCAGTGGCACTAGAATCTGAGCAACTCACAAGTTCAAGGCCAGCCTCAGCAAGTTAGTAAAACCCTGTCTCAAAAATAAAATAAAAACGGCTGGGGACGTAGCTCAGTGATAAAGCGCCCCTGGGTTCCATCCTCAGTACCAAAGGGGAAAAAAAGTGAGCTGGCCCAGTGCGGGGTGGAGGGGGGGCCCACTCCCAGCTCCCCCAGAAAGCCAGAGACTCGCTGGCTTCCTTCTCTGGCCGCTAGACCTCAGTCACGGCCAGCTCCTCGGCTGTTCACCTTCCTCAGTCCCCGAACATGCTTCCTGGATATCCTCAGGCTCAGCCCTAGTGACCCCAGGCCCAGCCCCAACCCTCCTAATGCTCCACATGAAGGATCTGAGTCTGCCTGGCCATAGCCAAGATAATGTCCTGCCAGTGCAGAGCAGAGGGCCAGCAGCTGTCACAATGCCCTCATTTCCTCCCACTGCAAGACAAGGAGACAGATCCCGGGACAGTGCACATTTACTTGACATTCTCTTGCCCTCCAACCCTCACTTGGCTGGTAATAGCCTCTAATGAATTCCTAAGAAGTTCTGAGGCTAGGCCTGAATATCTGCCATGTCCTAAAAATCCTAACAATGATAATAGCTGATATTTACTGGGCACTTACTATGGGCTGAACACATGATTATATATCATCTCATTTAAACCCCTCCCAATCCTTTTATCCCCAAGTTACAGATAGAGAGTCTGGGCCTAAGGAGGATGACTTACCCCAGGACATAGTTCAGCAGAGCTGGGATCTGAACCCAGGTCTCTCTAGACTCCGAATTTTATAAAGGGAGGTGGAAAGGGAGAGGAACTGTCAGAATATCAAGCTTGGGCTGGCACTGGATATGAGTTGAATTGAACCTTCCTTTCCTTTTTCAAAGAACATCTTTCTGGCCCTCCTGTCAAAGACAGGATTTACTTACAGCATGTTAAATGGCCAAGATATAGAAAGAGCTCAGCCTAACACCTGGGTCAGGGATCGTGTGCTCATTAGTCCCCAACAGCAGGGCATTTATGCAAGGCTGTCCGTCTTGTAGATGAGGAAACTGAGGCCCAGAGAGGGGGAAATGTTTTGCAAGTCAGTGGTAGGACTGTCTCCCTGAGTGGCCTGGAACTCACCATATACGCCACAGTACCTCATGCACGAGGAGAAGGTCAGAAGTGGGACTGGGGCTGAACTGGTGCAGCATTTTTAGAGATGGCCAGGAGGACACAAGCCGAGTAGGTGAAGCCAGACAACCAGGCCGGGTCTTCAGAAGAGGAGTGTCCTCTTTGTGAAGGACGAAGGCAGGGCCTCTGGAGGTTTGAGGAAGCGTGTTTGAGAACAACTCATCTCCCAAGAGCGGACCCTAGTAGGGTACGGTCTCACATCATGCAGTCCAATCCCAAATCTGCAAAGCTTGGGAGGACTTAGTTCAAGTCAAGAATTACGGAAGGCGTGGGCTGGAGGGAGTGAGATTTGGCAACACCTGAATCTAGTGGGGCTTCTCCCAGGATAACAACCTAGATGAAAGGTCAAAGCCACTCTCTGGTACCTGTCCAGCTTCCATGGTGGGGACCAGCTGTCAGTGCCTGGGCCAGCCCAAGACAGGAGATGGTGGTCCTGATTTTTTTACCTGGGAAGTAGAGAAACACCCCTGTGCCATCCTCTCGAACCTTCACCCTCCACAGTTTAAAAGCACCAGGGGCTTCTCCAGTTCAGACCGGGGGACAAGAGAACCACCCCCTGGAAAAAACAAAAGATGAGGCTTGACCAGAGCCACCCACCGCCCAGGCTTGGTTCCTCACAACCGCTCTGCCTACACTTCGCACACCCCATAAAAGAAGAGGGAATCCCTCCTGTCCCTTCCTAGCAGGTCCCAAGTTTACCCAGCCTCAAAGGTCTGGGTTAGTCTCCAGGTTGCCCCCTCCTAGTTCAGGGACCTTGCCTGCTGAACCTGGATTTTCTTCCGCTAAAATGGGGCTAATAATGTTCAAAGGAGACTGTGCCCCTCATCGGTGTTCCATAAGCACAGCTTACTGACAGAAGTCCCAAGCCATGCCCCCAAAGGGGCTCAGTTGAGTCGGGAAAACTCTGGGGGCCCGGCTCCGGGGCTGCAGTGAGCAGGACGCTGGGTCCTCCCGGGCCAGGCGGGCTGCGGAGGGAGGGTGTCGAGCCTGAGCGGGCACCTCGGCCCGCAGGAGGTCTGCAGCGAGCTGTGGTGTCTGAGCAAGAGCAACCGGTGCATCACCAACAGCATCCCCGCCGCCGAGGGCACGGTGTGCCAGACGCACACCATCGACAAGGGGGTGAGCGCGCACAAGGCTGGGCCCCGCCCCTCGGTCCATTTCCTGCGTAGGCCACGCCCCCGCCTTCTTCCTGCCCCCCCGCCACGCCCTCCGCCTGCAGGTCCCGCCCCGGTGTGGCCGTCCATCTCGGGCCACGCCCCCTCCGCCTTTGGTCTCAGTGCGAGCTTCGCCCCGCCCCGCGCTGGTCCTGCGCTTAGGCCACGCCTCTTGCTTGAGCGCTGTCCGGCTCCCTCGCCACGCCTCTGGCCTCTGCTCGAGCCCGGTGCTACCTGACTGGCAGCTTCTTCAGACCCCGCCACTGTCCATCCCCTTCCGCCCCATCCTTGAGGGACGGGGACTTGTGCCTGGGTCATGGGGGAGTCGTGGGGACGGGGCCCTGAGTCCAGAGCCTGTGCAGAGCAGGACTCTGCCCTCTCCATCTCCCCCCAAACCACCACCCAGTGGTGCTACAAGCGAGTGTGTGTCCCCTTCGGGTCGCGGCCGGAGGGCGTGGACGGGGCCTGGGGCCCGTGGACCCCGTGGGGCGACTGCAGCAGAACGTGCGGCGGCGGTGTGTCTTCTTCCAGTCGCCACTGCGACAGCCCCAGGTCAGCCCTCAGGACATTTTCCCAGGAAAACGGGGGACCCCTGCCCCTTGTCGCCCCCTGTCGCCCCATCTCTCTCCTGTCTCCCCCATCCCTTCCAGGCCAACCATCGGGGGCAAGTACTGTCTGGGCGAACGGAGGCGGCACCGCTCATGCAACACGGAGGTGAGTGTCTGGGACTCACACTTGAGAATAAGGGGACACCAGCCCTCAACCCTTGGGAGCGGGGGTCCAAGTGCTTCAGCCGGCTGCCTGCCATCTCCTCGGGTACCATGCCGTGTGTCCCTTCCTTTCAACCTAGCTTCCCTCAAAGAGCCCAGCCACCCACCTCTGTCATCCCAGAACCTGGCCGACTTCCTCTCACCAAATCTGGGGGCCATCTTTTGTCTTCTGCTGTGCCTTGGTCTGACCAGAGATCTGCACACATCTTTCTGGGCCCTCCATGATCGCATCCCTGAGGGGCTTCTCTCCACAATGTCTCTGCTTTTTGTTCCTTAAATGCTGGAGTTACTAGGGCTGGGGTCCCGTGTACGGATGAGTTTTAGGGGGACACATACAGAGGCTTGCTAAAGAAGGTGATGTTCAGAGGGCAGGAAAAACTTCTGGTGAGCAGTGACCTTCCCAGACCCCCACCTGGGGATTCTCGAGTCCGCAGGAAATCCACACACCCCTAGCATTCATGAGGAACTCGGCACGTGCCTGTTCCATTTACTCTAGGCTTCCTCTCTAAGAAGGCCCCTGGTCAGAAACCAGAACCCAGGCATCATCCCAGCTCACCCCTCCCCTGTGATGACTCATCTAGACACTTGATGCCTAGCACAGGTCTCACCTGGACCATCCCAGCCTCCTCCCTGGCCTCCCTGCCTCCAGGCTCAATCTTCCAACAAATGCCTCTCTGAATGTCACTTCTCTGCCCTAACTTCCTCCATCCAGGACTGTCCCCCTGGCTCCCAGGACTTCAGGGAAATGCAGTGCTCTGAATTTGACAGTGTCCCCTTCCGTGGAAAATTCTACACATGGAAGACGTATCGAGGAGGTGAGTTGGGAATCCCAGGGCTGTGGGCAGCGGAGTGAAGCTGTGGGGGCATGCAGCCGTGCGTGGGTGCTGAAGGCATCATGGGGTCTGCCTGGATCTCCCCCTCCCCAAGGAAGCAGAGTTCCTGGGATGTGCTGGGTGGAGGTTGGCCTGGGCACCGGGGGCCTCCACTCCCACTTCCCCGCTGCCCATGGCATTGGGTCTGGGTCTGATGGGGCCGTGCCCCCCAGGGGGCGTGAAGGCCTGCTCTCTCACATGCCTAGCCGAAGGCTTCAACTTCTACACCGAGAGGGCAGCCGCTGTGGTGGACGGGACGCCCTGCCGCCCAGACACAGTGGACATTTGCGTCAGCGGCGAGTGCAAGGTAAAGTGGTCTCCTGAGGAGAAGGAGCGGGCAGGTGGGGGGACAGGAGGGCATCTCCGTGACGCCCACCCGGTCGCTGCGCTCTCTGTGCAGCATGTGGGCTGTGACCGCGTCCTGGGCTCCGACCTACGGGAGGACAAGTGTCGCGTGTGTGGGGGTGACGGCAGTGCCTGCGAGACGATCGAGGGGGTCTTCAGCCCAGCCTCGCCTGGGGCAGGTGAGGGCTCTCAAACTCCCCACTTGGGTTTGGTGGCGGGGACGGGGCTGACGTCACTACAGCCAAAATCAGTAACTTCTTAGACTCTAAGGGCCCCATGGAGTCCTGGGGGCACAAAATGCCCCAGATCAGGATCAGGAAGGGCCCTGGCTGCTGCCTTGGGCTCTGGTGCCTAGACCCCGCCACCAGAAGTCTCCGGGCCTGAAAACCCAGATCTCCTCTCTCTGCCGTCCTGGGGCCCTCAGGCTGCGTCTGGCTGGGGAGAGGGGTCATTCTCCGTCCTGTGAGCCAGAGGAGCTGGGGAGCTCTCTGTGCTGGCAGGAAAAGGCTTACTTGGGGAGGGGACCCTGGGGGCGGGGGTGAACACTCTTCCTTGCTCCTACTGGGGATAAGGGGTCCTAAGGAGGGGGAGTCAGGAAGCCTAGGAGGGCTGGGAAGCTGGGGGCTCTGCCGCAGGGAGTGTGGCGGGATGGATGATGGGGCTGGTCATCCGAGGCCACGCACAGGCCAGCAGGAACAAGTTGCAGAACATGAGTGTCATCCCCTGGGCAGGGCCCCATTGGGCTTACTTAAGGCAGCTGGTGTCAAGAATGAGACGATGTGGTGACATAGCTAAGAAGGGGCAGTGGAGATGGGAAGAAGAGGTAAAATGAAGAGGAATCCAGACACCAGGGTGGTAGGACACGGCTGATCGTGGATTGGGGATGGGTAGTCAGCGAGGATTTTCAGATGTCCAAGGGGACATCTACGTGACCCCTAGTAGGCAATAGGCTGTCCCCAAGATGGAAACTTCCAGGGGAACAGGAAAGTTATTGAGTTGGGACACAGAGAGACTGAGGAGCCCAAGGGACATTGAAGTGCCATCTAGTGGGTCAAGGAGAGAGAGAGAGGGAGACTGAGGGTCCTTAGGCCTGAAGACCTGATCGCAAACCCTGGGGTTCCACGGAGCCATGCAGCTCCTCCTGCGGTAGGGGGTTGGGTTAGGGATGTTGCAACCTGGCAGAGAGGGAAGGTGGAGCTCACAGGGGACTGTGTGGGGTCTAGCCAGATAGGCCAGGACTATGGAATGGTACAGGAGGGCAAATGTAGAGGGCTCCTAGGGCCCAGGTAGTCAGTGGTGAAACCTGCTGTACACCTAGTTCTGAGTGCCAAAATTCTACCCTGTCACCCTGTGTGGCAGGGTCTCAGTGGCATCTGTAGGAACCAGGGGGCTGGATCAGATGATTTTGGTGATTTGAGGGGCAGGAAGATTTGGGTTCAAATCCACCCTAGGGAGGGTGTGGCTCAGTGGTAGAATGTCTGTTATGTATGGAGCCCTGGGCTCTACCTCTATCCCTCCCGAATGTTGGAAAAAAAAGAAATTCCCAACTTAGACACTGCCTAGCTGTAAAACTCAGGCCACTTGCTTAGTTTCTGACCTTCAGTTTTGTCATCTGTAAAATGAGTACGGTGACATGTGTACTTCACGGGATGCCGTGCAAGCCCTCAGCTGGTTAGCAGCACCATTAGGGCCAAGGATGAGGGGGACAGGTGGGTGACATCAGACCTCTGCTGTCCAGGGTACGAGGATGTCGTCTGGATCCCCAAAGGCTCTGTCCACATTTTCATCCAGGACCTGAACCTGTCCCTCAGTCATCTGGGTATGCGGAGGTGGGGAGATGGGGACTGTGGGTCCACAGAGGTGGGCAGCCTGACTAGAGTTCTGAGCCCTGTGCTGTCCCCAGCCCTGAAGGGGGACCAGGAGTCCCTGCTGCTGGAGGGGCTGCCCGGAATCCCCCAGCCTCACCGCCTTCCCCTGGCTGGGACCACCTTTCACCTGCGACAGGGGCCAGACCAGGCCCAGAGCCTAGAAGCCCTGGGACCCATTAATGCCTCTCTCATCGTCATGGTAACATTGGGGTGGGGTGGGGGGTTACAGGTGCAGGAGAACATTAGCATCTTTTGGGGATGGAGACTCCACAAGATCCTTCCATCGGCTGCTCCCTGTGCCCCCAGGTGCTGGCCCGTACAGAGCTGCCCGCCCTCCGCTACCGCTTCAATGCACCCATCACCCGGGACGCCCTGCCCCCCTACTCCTGGCACTACACACCCTGGACCAAATGCTCAGCCCAGTGTGCAGGCGGTGAGGCCAGGGTGGGCCGGGGTGAGTGCGAGGCACCCAGCCTGCCGTCCTCTGACGGGGCTGAGCGGGACTCTCCCCTCCCCCAGGCAGCCAGGTGCAGGTGGTGGAGTGTCGCAACCAGCTGGACAGCTCCGCCGTAGCCCCTCACCACTGCAGTGCCCACAGCAAACTGCCCAAGAGGCAGCGTGCCTGCAACACAGAGCCGTGCCCACCAGAGTGAGTGTCCACCTGGAGGCAGGGTGGCCTGGGGTGGGGCAGGGTGCTCCCTGGGGTCAGGAGGAATGCTCCCAAGAGGGTGGGAGCAGGTCTATGCAGGACTGCAGTGACAGTGGACCCAAGGTCAAGGTCATGGTGCTCCTTAAGGTGAGGGCTAACGCTGGATGGTTCTGGGGTCAGGACGATCATGCTGCACAGCCAGGGTAACAGTCTGGGGAATCAGGATGATGCATCTCCCTGCCCTCAGTCGGGGTGCCCAGTGATGCGATGCTCTCTCTAAGTGCATCTGGAGCCCTGCCCCATTCTGTAAGATGCTCACTGGCAGGACTGGCATCGGCTAGAACACGAGGTCCAGGGTTGGGGCCCCCTGCCCCAAATACTGGCTCAGGCCCCTCCTGCATCCCAACAGTTGGGTGGTGGGAAACTGGTCGCGCTGCAGCCGCAGCTGTGACGCGGGAGTGCGCAGCCGCTCCGTCGTGTGCCAGCGCCGCATGTCGGCCGCCGAAGAGAAGGCGCTGGACGACAGCGCGTGCCCGCAGCCCCGGCCACCGGTGCTGGAAGCCTGCCATGGCCCCGCCTGCCCTCCCGAGTGGGCCGCCCTGGACTGGTCTGAGGTCAGCTGCCCCTTCCCACCCGCCTGCACCCATTCCGCTTCCAGGCAGAGAGCGGGCAGGTCCTGAGATGCCTGTGGGTGGGGCTCATTGAGGCTCTGTTCCACGGGCCAGGTACCCTAAGGGACCACCCTCGACTGGCTCAGTTACCTGTCTGTCCACTCCACTCCTCCCACTGGGTCAGCCCCCTGCCCACCCGCTGAGCATAAAAATCTCCAACTACAGTGCACCCCAAGCTGCGGGCCCGGACTTCGTCACCGCGTGGTCCTTTGCAAGAGCGCTGACCAGCGGGCCACGCTGCCCCCCACGCACTGCCCGCCCGCAGCTAAGCCGCCGGCCACCATGCGCTGCAACCTGCGCCGCTGTCCCCCAGCCCGCTGGGTAGCGAGTGAGTGGAGCGAGGTAGGTGGGCACGCCCTAGGGGACTCAGGAGAGGGCAGGGCCGAGGGCCGTCGGCTCAGTGGCACCTCTCCCCAGTGCTCCGCGCAGTGTGGCCTCGGCCAGCAGCAGCGCGCGGTGCACTGCACCAGCCACACCGGCCAGCCGTCCCGCGAGTGCACCGAGGCCCTGCGGCCCCCCACCACACAGCAGTGTGAGACTAAGTGCGACAGTACGCCACCTGGGGACGGCCCGGAAGGTATGTGGGCGACAGACAGAGGAGCACAGGAGAAGGCAAGGGGGTCCTGACAATTAGTCGCAGAGCTCCTAGAGCCCCTGAAATGCTCTCCTCTGTCGCTGCCAGGCCATCTGACATTGTGCCCACCCTGCAAACACTTATTAGGTGTCACTGTGCTGAGCATTTTAGGCATTGACCCTCTGAGCACTCAGACTCAGCTCGTCCCCACACTCAGCCCGTGAGCTTTACCCTGCTCATTTCCACCTGTTCTCTCATCACCTTGCATTTTTCCTTTAAATCAGAGTTTCGCAGTCTCAGGCACTATTGATGCGTTGGGCCAGGTGATTCTGTCCTGTGCTCTGTAGGATGTCTGCAGCATCCTGACCTCTCACTAGATGCCAGTAACAAACCCGCTCCCCAATTACGACAAGGAAAAATATCTCCAGATATTGCCTACTATGGGGGAAGGGACAAATTCTCCTCCCCTTGAGAATACTGCTGTTATACCACAACTCTGTGTGTGTGTGTGTGTGTGTGTGTGTGTGTGTGTGTGAATGGAGATGGGAGGTCTCACTATGTTACCCGGGTTGGTCTTGAACTCCTAGACTCAAGTGATTCTGCCTGAGCCTCCTGAGTAGCTGGAGCTACAGGCAGGTGCATCTGCACCCAGCTGTAAATCATGTTTGTTTTTGTTTGCTTGTTTGCTTCTGCAGTACTAGAAGTTGAATGCAGGGCCTTGAGCATGCTAGGCATGCCTTCTACCACTGAGCCACACCCCCAGCTCTTTTTAAATTTTGAGACAGGGTCTCAGTAAGTTGCCCAAGCTGGCCTCAAACTTATGATCCTCCTGCCTCAGCCTTCCAACTAGCTGAGATTACAGGTGTACGTCACCGCACCAGTTTACACATTTGTGATAGACAGCAATAGATTTCTTATTCCAGGCACTGGAGCCAAACTACAGAGGTTTGCCTCACATCACTGTGCCTCCATTTCCTTATCTGTCAAGGGGTATGAATGATGTCTTCACTTGGGCGGGATGCCTCATTAGGGAGATGGAACAAAATGACCAACGTGAAGCCCTTTATTAGGACAGGACCCTGCTGTGCTTCACTGGCTGCTGTCCCGTGTCATGAAGAGAGATTGTTGAATACCATGAACATAAAATACACAAATGCCTGGAACTGTGGCCCAAGTTTATTAAACTTGGGAAAGGAGTGAGCATTGTACACAGATACTCTCTTCTGGGTGGCATCAAAAAGATAACTGAGTAGGAAATACTTTTCTGGTTAATGATGTATCCAAATCAGCCCCAACCCCTGCACACTCTAAATCCTCAAAACAGCCTAATGACATACGTACTCTTATAAGCCCCTTTTGACAATGGCAGAAACTGAGACATAGAGAAGCAAAGTCAGTGACCAGAACCCACAGTCCAGACAGTGTAGGCACCCCTGCTGGGAGGGACACTAAGACCTGATTTCTCCTTTTCTCTCCCCCTCAACCCCCCGCAGAGTGCAAGGATGTGAACAAAGTCGCCTACTGCCCCCTGGTGCTCAAATTTCAGTTCTGCAGCCGAGCCTACTTCCGCCAGATGTGCTGCAAAACCTGCCAGGGCCGCTAGGGGGCGCGCGGCACCTGAAGCCACACCTGAGTGCAGGCTGAGGGGGTCTGGGCCAGAGAGGGCCGGAGGGGGCCGAGCTGGGAGGGAAGGGTGAGATGGAGTTGGAAGTTATTTATTGGGAACCCCTGCAGGGCCCCTGGCTGGGCGATGGAGAGGGGCTAGCTACTCCCAGCCCCTCACCTAGTTCATACTGAGACCTCCTCCAGGGTGGGTCTGGGAAGGGGACAAAGTTCACCCCAGGGCCCTTTGCACTCACCCTCACGGAGTCCCCAATGCTCTCCCACCCTTTGATGGGAATATGTACTGTGAAGAGTGGAGGTGGGGAGGGGGTCTGCGGGTGCCCTGCCCCCCAGCGCTGGCCTTCCTGTCCACTCGGAGCTGGGGGGAATCTGTGTCTACTATGGGGGAGGAGTTCAGCACCATCTCCCTGATCCCCTCCCCGTTAACTGACCCCAGGGGAATGTCCACCCCAACCTCTGCTCTGCCTGCCCTGTGGGGACCCCAACATCCAGGCCACCCTCTTCATGGTGCTACAAGCCCTACCCTGGGGCCCACACACTCCTCACCAGGAAGCCCCACATAATAAAGTTCTGTCTTGTGTAAATTTCTGTGCGTTCCTAGATGTGTGTCGGTGTGCGCGAGTCCCGGCCAGCGCCTGCCCGAGACCAGAAGAGGTCACAGTTCTTCAGGGTCATCCACAATGAACTTAGGGGACTTTTACCAACACAAACAAAAGCCCAGAATTCTAGGACAGAAGTACAGGAGGTTATGGAGGTTCCCAAGGTCACACCCCTGACAACCCCAATGACGTAGGGTCCTCCTGCCTGTGGACCCGTCAAGTTGCCCCAATTCCTGGAACTTGCTCAGGAGATTCAAGGAGAGACAGGCTCCTTCCCAAATGTGGACACTAGGAGACACCCCACTGGACACCTAGGAGGGTGCAGCAAAGGCCAAAGATGGGTTTGAACACAGGTCACTGCCCCCTCAGCCACCTCCTTGTTGGATGAGGTGGGGAGGAGATTATCCCCTGGAATTGTTATTTCCTCTACTAACAAAAGACCAGGGTGTGGTCTGCTGATTTTCCAGAGACCAAAGCCTGGGTCCAGGCACTGCCAAGAGAAGATGCCCCATTTTACAAGAAGAAGATGGGAAATCAAGTCCAGGAAGTGGCAGAGCCGGGGGGCTGCAGGTCCAGATCTCACACCCAAAGTTGGAGGCTTTTCAGGACACCTGGCCCCGCATACCGTCCACCCCACTGCCCCTCCACGACAAAGCCGCATGGGCCCCTAGGGCTGTACGCAGGGAAGACCAGCAGAGGCTGATCTGGAAGAGAGTTTATCAGAGCAGTTGCATCTAACATGGCCCTTTCCCTAGTTTTCAAAGGAGATGAGTAATCCACATGCTTCCAGGATCACCCTGCAAAGGGTGGTCGGCCCCGCGGCCAGCAGACCCGAATGTGGCCCCTGTCCTTGAGATGGAGAAGCCCCCTGTCTGGGGTCTGGCAGTGACTGTCCACGATCTTGGAGGTGCAGAGGCTCGAGCAGCCGGCTCCCCCAGCTCTGCTCTTTCTCCCCGCCCTTGGGGCCCAGCTTCCCTCCCCCGGGGCCACGGCCCCTCCCGTCAAAGGAAGTGAGAGGGGCTGTTGTAAGAGGAACTGAGGGCCAGGAGCCGGTGAGGAACGGGAGCAGGGCCATGCCCAAGCCGCCCCCAAGAGCCCTCTGAGCCTGTCCCCCTGCCACAGCCCTCCCGGTGACCCCCCAGGAGCTGACACCAACCCCACCATGGTAAGTCCTCCAAGGGTGGGTCTGGAAGGGTAGGGGTGGGGCAGCAGCCAGGTGGAGGTGCCCTGGAGATCAGCCTCGGAAGGTGAGGAGGACAGTGGCCGGCCCTTTGGGGTCCCTTAATGCAGGTCAAGGGACCCCAGTCCCTTACCAGGCACAGGTTCCCATGTGACGATGCCAGGCTGGCTCTTGGGACCCGTGGAACAGCAACAGGAGGAGAGACGGTGTCCCCAGGGAGTCAGAGTGCAGGGACCGGGACCTGGTCCCTTCCTGGGGGACATCCGGGGAAGCCAGTGCTTAGCTCAGCTCTCATCTCCCTATGTGGCCTTGGACATGTCCCCTCTTCTCTCCTGGCCTCGGCGCACACAGATGTCATCTCTGGAGGGCTGGCTGTGAAAGAGGTTCTTCAGGAGCGTTTCAGTGGGGACATTCAGAGGGCCTGTGGGTCTGGCTGTCTGAGGCCACCAATGGGGGGAGAAGCTGTGTCTCATGGGCCGGGGGTGGGGGGGTAGTGACAGTGTGGCTGTGCGGGTGGCGGGTGGTTTGGCTGTAGTGTCTACAGAGGAAAAGGTGGGGAGATGGTCACAGTGTTAGTGTCCTCGCTCGGAGCCACCGGCAGAGGATGGCCGCAGAGACCCCTGCAGACAGCCTGCGCGCCGAGGCCAGGTGTGTTGGAGCGGTGACCCGAGGCCTTCCTGTCCAGCCCAAGCATCCCCAAAGCACCCAGCAAGAGGGAGTGCGCTGGCCCCACGGGCCTCCCCAGGTCCCAGCCCCAGACCTCCTCAGGCCACTTCAGCTTTCAGTTTTTGTCATTCTGTCAACAAGAATGTGGGACAGGGACCCAGGCAGGGTTGTTGGTGGTTGCAGAAAACAGCTGGGCAGGGCGAGGCAGGAGGTGGAGCGCGGGGCAGGAGCTGGGCTAGCCTGAGACCCTCCTGGGAGAGCAGGGGCGCGCCGGGCATCACTGGCCGGGCATCACGGGCTCCGTGGCCCACAGCCAGGCCTGGGGACAGAGACGCTTCCAAGACAGCCGAGCCCGGGGCCGAGGAGCCCTGGTGGGCACTTGGCTCAGAAGAACACGGGAAGCGACTTGCTCCTTGGGAGATAGGACGGGGCCGAGTGGGAGGGGAGGACAAGGAGGAGAGGTGGAGGAGGCCACCATGGGAAGCCACCTCTGCCTGTGGGGGCTGGACTTCCTGCAGGGACACAGGACCCTGTTCAGAAAGTCTGTGACAGACCACACGGTGTGCGCCCAGGAAACAGTGGCCATTCCAGGGCGGGGCTCAGGTGCTTCTGGAGTCAGCCCCGGGAAGGGTGTGGGCGACCCTGGTCACTAGGGAGGAGTGGTCACCGTCGGCTGCAATGGCGGCTGTTGCTAATGGTGGCTCTTGTCTCTGATATGGTGACCGGGGGTTAAGACTGGCCACTGGACTTTTCCGATGGACGTCTTGGTGACCCCTGGTGATGGATGGACCGACGGCGGTCTGGTTGCTGTTGTTGGAGCTGGGTGGCGTTGGGGTGTCCTTTGCTGTTTGTAGCTCGTTGCTGGGTTTGGGGGTTGGGGTGGTTTTGGGGTTTGCCTGTTTTGTCATGGGGCTGGGGTGTGACCGCACCCCGCACTGAGCGCCACCCCGAGGCCGCGCTGGTTTCTGGTGAGGGTGCTCCCACTGGTGAGTGGGCTCCGAGTGGGCCCTGGCGGGTCAGTGCTGCATCACGGCGTCGCTGAGGTGGCCGGCTGGGCGGCTGCTGGCCAGCAGTGTTGCTGCTGGTGGGTGGTTCCTGGGCTGGTGAGTGGTGATGGGGGCGGCGCAGAGGAGGATGGAACAGGTCCCTCCCGTTTCTGCTTGACTCTGCCTGGTGCTGGCACCGCTGTCATTAGCAGTTTCTGTTTGACTGACTGTGGGCTGCGGGCTGGAGGCGGCAACTGGCTGGCACTGGTGGTGACAGGAGGCTAATCGTGGTTGCTTTAAAGGGACAGACAGAAAGCAGACCATGATGTGGCTGCCTGGTCTAGGGCCACTGGCTGTGGAGATGGACAGGAGAGACTGGAGCTGAGAGGGACCAGAGGTGAAAGTCATGAAGACCGAGCCCAGCTGCGGGGCGGGGGGACGGCAAGAGCCAGGGCCAGGGAGGTGTTTGCTGGCCCTGGGCCCCACTCGAAGGCTCTTCTCCAGTGAGCAAGAGGGTGAGACCAGAGCTCCCCAGCTCCGGCCTCCATGTGGGGTGTCAAGTCCCCTGACCCTGGACCGTCTCCAGCAACCAGAGAGCCCCACTCCGAAAAGATGGGGACCCCTACCTGTTGGATAATGGCTCCGGCTGGACCAAGAGGAAACAGACCCTCTGCTTCCCCAAGCGGGAGGGCAACCCTGGGAGCCTTTGGAGACAAGGATGCTGTTTGCACCGCGTGGGAGGCAGAGCGTGGCTGCAGAGCCCACGGGGGGGGGGGGGGCAGACCAAGGCTCCAAGGGCAGCCCCAAGGGACCAGGGGTCTTGGTCCAGGCAGCAGTGCCACCACATCACATCTCCTCCCAGCAGCCACAGCCCGTGGGACCCCCAAGGAAGGAAGTGGTATTCTGTGCTCTCTCCAGACTGGGGCTCTTGCTCCTCCTCACGCGGAGCACTCGGGGTGACTGGAACAAGCTCCCTCCCTCATGGCCTTGGGCCTCCAGGGGCCAAGCCCGAGGCTGCCGCAGATGGTGACGGGGAGGCTGGCATGTGCGTGTGACAGACTCTGCCCCGTGAGGTCTCCCATATTCCAGATGGGGAAACTGAGGCAGCGGGCGGTCAGGCGAGTGTCTGTATAACCAGAGCGGATTTCAGCTCGGTCACTCCCGGGACCACACAGTCAGCAGCCATCTTGGCACCGCCCGCCCGCCCCTCGTGCCAGGAGGGGAGAGGCCACAGTGGAGGTGGGCACTGACCCACATGCCCTGGGATGCCCATTCCCCTGAAGGACCCCTGCCCATCCCTTCAGCCTTATTTAGAACTGGACACTCTGCTCACTCCAAAGAAGCTAGACTCTGGCGTCCCTGACACACACCCCGAGACCTGCCTCCCGCCAGAAGCTCTGCTCCCGCTCCCCTTCCCCAACACAGGCCCCTTGGGCAGTCTCTCCACCTACTCCAAGAGGAGGGTCATCTGCGCAGGGCCTCAGCCTACCTCAGGCCCAGCAGAGGCTCAGGAAGTGTGCTCGCGACAGGGCGGACGCCCCAGCCCCACAGCAGCCATCACCTTGACCACAAAGAACCCCTCCTCCCTTTCGCACAGGGCAAGTCTGTCCCAGACTACCCCTACCCCTCCTGCCTCTCCCCTTGGGGTAGGAAGACCTCTCTGCAGAGCTGAAGGAAGAAGCTACCTTCCCCTTCCCACCCTAGCACCTCCAGCCCCTGATGGTCTTTCATAACAGCCCCAGCAGGTTGAGTCATACTCAGCTTGTGGTCAACTGTGACCACAACCTCTTCGTTACACCCCCACCCCAAGGAAGGGGCTCATGAGTAAACAGTTGAAACTTGACCCATGGTAACTTGGAGGGCACAGAGAGAGGGATGCTCAGAAGACAGGACAGGGAGAAGTCTCTTCCATGGTACTCCATTCATTCATTCAGCAAGTATGTCCTGACCAGCTCCTACACCCTAGTCCTCCGGAAGCTCATAATGGAATCCCTGTGAGAGGAGGGGAGACAGGGCTGAGAGTGAGATGGTCCTTCCAGAGCCACAAGGTGGTGAACTATCGACCCAGGACTTGAAGACAACCGTCATGCATGTGCCAACATCCTTGACTGCCCCTACACACCCACGGACAAAGCCTCCCCTCCCTTCCATGCACACGTCCTGGGCCTTGATGATTGGCTGGAGCTAAGAGTGTCTGGGGGCCAGGCCCTGGGGACAGGATGGAGAGGGAAGGGATGGCAGGCCTGTGAGACACAGAGGCTACTCTGCAGAGCGAGGGAAGAAGGGAGGGACAGGAAGAGGAACCAAGTGCCCAAGGCCACCACAACCAGACGGCCAGTGCACCCAGTCAGACACAGCTGGCCTCAGGCCTCTAGTTCCAGCAAGAGGAAGTGGCCTTGGGTCTCAGCTCAGCCGGAGGGGCCTCACTACATGAAGAAAGGACCAGCCTGAAAGGGGAAGCCCTGGATACGCCAGTCTGTTCTCACCCCATCTGTCCTCATCTGACTTGAAGCACCAAACCCAGCCAACTCTGACCCAAACCGTCAGACAGTCTGGTGTGTTCTCTCTTCCCACGCAGCCACGCTCCTGCTGTGTGATCTCCAGGAGGTTACCTAACCTCTCTGTGCTCTCTGCACAGTTTCCTCTTCTGCAAAATGGACTTGATAATCCTAACAAACTCAGCATGTGTTGAAAGGATGAGATAATTCACTTTAAAAAGCTTAGGACAGTGCAGAGGTGTGGCTTGCCTAGCAAGCATGAGGTCCTAGGCTTAAAGCCTGGCCCAAGAAAACACAAACTCAGACTAGAGCCTGGCGCAGAATAAATGCCTGCAGGGTCTTAACGACTGTTGTCATTGTTTCCCAACCTCAGCACTCACAGACCCACCCCCCAGCTCCTCAGAGACAGAATCCACTTCCTGTCCCCCCAGCCACTGACGCTGGGCTGTTCAGGTCCAGACAGGGAGCAGATCCCCAGCCCCCAGATGGCGAAGGACACCTCTTCATTCCCAGTCTTCGTCCTCCCTCCTCACCAACGCGCTCTGGTCTCCCCATCTTGAAAACAGGAAACCCCCGGTGACCCCACCTTTCCCCCAGCTCCTTCCCTCTTCCTCCTCCCAACCAAAGTGTCTGACACCTGTCCTCGCACCCCCTCCCCCCTCAAGCTGACTTCTGACCCCCTCCCTGGGGACCCTGGAGGGTGTGGCCAGTCCTCAGTAGCTGGTGGAATCTCCCACCCTCCGCACCCCTCATCCCAGCTCAGCCCCAGCTGGCCCCGCCCTGCCCTCATCCCGGCCACTCCCCCTTCTCCCAGCAGGCTTGCCATCCAGGCCAGGGCACAAGGGACTCCCTGAGGGTCACAAAGAACTCGTGTGACCCCAGTCCTGCAGAGAGAAGCGCTCAGGCCCGCGCAGCAGGAACACCTCCAGGGGCGCCCCTGTGACCAGCTGTGTCCGTGAGCACACAGCCCCACCTGCAGGCCAATACTGAGGGGTGGTACAGTGGCCACTTCAACAGCACTAGCAGTGTGACCTTGGGGGACATCAGCTTCCCAGATGTTGAACTTGGTCAAAATCTGGAAAAACTAAAACCTCCCTTTGCCCTTGGTGGTCATGCGACTGCAAAAGGCAGTGGGTGTCAATCATGCTGAGCGTGTGCAGGCTGAGCCGACCCCATCCAGAACTCTCAAGTCCAAAATGCTCCCAAATCTGAAGTTTTTGAGTGCTGACATGATGCCAAAAGTGGACAACTTCACCCCTGACCTCATGCGACAGGTGGCAATCAAGACGCAGGGTGCACTAAAAGTAGTGAACAAAATCGCCTTCAGGTCAGACACGACAAGTGTGGAACAAAGGCAGCTCACATGCAGACTTGGGTCCGTCCCTGGGATTTCTATGAATATGCACATACACCAAATCTTTTAAAAAGAATTTAAATTCTTTTATTTTATTAATTTTAATTATTATTTTATTTAATTTTAATTTTTTATTAATTCTTTCAGGCATTTTGATTATAATTACCACGGGTATAGATTTTCTGTTTATGCATAAAACAGCTTGGCTCTAGGCTCCAGTGATTATAAACAGGTTTGTCACTTACATGAGCCTCTGCCTAGGTGGGGAAGGGGCTGCAGGTGTGCAAATTTAGCACCCACCCTGAGACCCACCCAGTAAGTGCCAGTCATATCCCCATCTCTGAGACAACCAAAAATGTCCCCATGATTCCAAATGTGCGTCCAGGGACAGTATGCCCCGCTGAGAACTCTCCCCGTGCCAACCCAACTCACTGGCTCCAGCACAGCCTTTCTGGTCCCCTGAGCCACCCCTACACATTCCCCAGGGCCCCAGACTCAAAGCATCCCTCGCTGAGCTCATCACCAGCTTCTCCTGCTGGGTCACCACCTGGTTGTCACCTTGATCTTTACCTTTAAGCCCAAGCCACGTCCTCCCCCCTTTCCTCATTCAGTCCCCCTCCTACCCACCCTTCCCTCTCCACCTCCCAGGCGAGGTAGCACCCCGGCTCAGGGCTCCCCAGTCCACAACTGCCCCTCCCCGTCCCCAGGCCTCCCAGCCAGGCTCCCAGCTCCAAGCCCAGGCCTCGACAGTCAGTCAGGCCAAACTCCTTGTCTTGACCTGGAGGCCCCACGGGGCTGACCCTGGAGGCCCCCTGCTCCATTCACTCACCCTCGCACTTTTCCTCACTGACTCAGTGCTGGCACCTCAAGAAGCCGGAGACACTGCCCTGGGGACACAGATGAGCTGGGTGTGCCACATCCAGAGTGTGGATGCTGAGGGACACTCTGGAGGCAGCAGGGGTTCAGAGGGGATGTCCCCTGAGCCCGTCACAAAGGATGGATTGGCTTTGAGGAGGCAAGGAAGGGTGTCTGACAGGGACTGGCATTCGCTGAGACCCGGAGGATGCAGGATGAGCACTCAGGCTCAAGATCCCCTGTGGCATGCGTGAGTGGGAGGGCCACCCGGAGCCGGAATGGCCTTTCAGCCACACAGAGATGGGTCAGGGTCACCACGTGAAAAATGCACACTGATGTCTCGGCCGGGGCAGGTGGAGGAGTCCAGGGGCGACTCCCTGCTCCTGCCCGCCCCCTCCTCTGCCCTCCAACTCTGCCCAGGGCGGCGCCTCCCTGTTTGTCTACCCGCTTCCCAGGGCAGCCTCTGGCGGGCACAGAGGCTGGAATCTGTTCTCCACCATCAGACTGGGGCTCCCATTATCCACCCGGGACACAGAGCCACGTCCTTAGGCCACTGTCCTTAGCCAAGCCACGCCCCGCCCAGCCTCGGTTTGCCTCCTAGCCTGTGTCCCACGATGACGATGTGAGGATGGCTGTGTGACGGCCCCAGCACCATGTCCCCCAGACCTGGCGCATCACATGAGCTTGGTCAAATGCCCATCAGCCTCGTCGTTCTTCCCACCACTCGGGCTGGGCAGGAGTACCCACCCCAGCCACCTGGTTCCCCAGAGCGTTTGATCCTCAGCCCTAGGGAGCGGGCCACCCCCCGGCTTTACGGATGGGGCAGGCGAGGCCCACAGCACTACCAGGCTGCTCGCCAAGATTAGGACCCAGCCCCAGCCCCACACCAAGGCGGGGCTCACTTCAGCCCTGGTGTTCCTCCACCACCCACCTCCCGGGCTGAGGGGAGTCTGGAACCGGCTGTGCCCCTCCTGCACTGGAGAACACCTCCTGGCGGACCCTCCGATGCTGGGTCCAGCCTCCTCCCCCTCTGACCTAGCGTTGCCCACACCACTCTCCTGCTCCACCCGGTCCGTATCCTCTCTGCCCAGACACCCGTCTCCAACCCCCGAAACCTGCTGCAAGAGTGGGTCCTCTTTGGAGATTTGGTCTTGGTTCCCAGCATCCTTTGCTCTGGAATATTCCTCTGAAGTTCGGTTTCCTTCTTTGCCCTGGTTCACTCAGCAGATCTCCCTTTTGGGACTAAGAAAGGACTCCCCCCGGGTCCCAGCCTCCAGAAGCTCCTGGCCTGGGACGGGGCACTTTCTGCAGGAGGGACACCTCCGAGCCTGAGTTTGCCACCAGGGAAGCTCCAGGGGGCTGTTGCTCTCTGTTGCCAGACTCCTGCCCGGCAGGGGTGTCCTGGACAGGAGCAGCAAGTGTCCCCAGAGAGACCCTGAATCTAAGGCCCTGGATGAGTTCACTTGAGCTGGAGGGTGGGGGGGTGCCTGTGCCCGAGTCTCCCCCATGGGCCCAAAGAAGGGCATGAGGAACTGGGGGAGGCGAAGGGAGAGTCCGGAACTGATGAGGAGCAAGGCCAAAGAGAAGAATGTGACGGAGGCCACGGGGAGACTGGGCCAGGTGTCATGGGCTGAGATAAGGAATAGTGTCACAGCAAGATCCAGGACAGAGGTCACAGCCCCAGGTTGGGACACATGATCCTGTGGGCAGAGGGAGGAAGGAGGTCTCCTCAATGTGAAAGGGGTTAGCTGAGGTGGAATGTCACAGAGCAGCTGGTCGGGAGGGAGGGAGGGGGAGGGAAGGAAGTGAGGACCAGGGTGGGGGGTTCCCCAGCAAGGCTCCAGCCTCCCTCCTCCTGCGCCACAGCCTGTGAGGGCCCCACTGGGCGGGCGTCTGTCCTCCGTGGGGGGAGGTACTGAAAGGAGGGATGAATGCACAGAAGGACCAAAAAAGAGGCCTGGGGGATGGACCCGAGCCGTCCTTCTGTGGTCAGAAGCCTGAATGGGCCTTGCCGCCCCTCTCGGGGTCCCTGAGGTGGGGAGGAACGGAGGTGGCTAAGGTGACGCCCGTCCTGGTGGTGGTGAGCAGGCGCCCAACCGCAGCTCACCCTGCCGCACGCGCACACCCAGGGCAGCAAGGAACGCTTCCACTGGCAAAGCCACAACGTGAAGCAAAGCGGCGTGGACGACATGGTGCTGCTGCCCCAGATCACCGAGGACGCCATCGTGGGCAACCTGCGCAAGCGCTTCATGGACGACTACATCTTCGTAGCCTGGCCGTGGGCAGGGGGCAGGCAGGGAAGGGATGCAGGGGCAGGGGAAGGGCTGGGCGGAGAGGGGGACAGAGGTGGACGGAGACATTAAGGGAAGGACATGGAGGGCCTGAGCCGTGGGCAGAGAGTGGGTGCATGGACAGAGGGAGGCCGGGCATTGAGGGTCCTGGGCTGGAGACCGAGGGCAGATGAAGTATCAGTGGGCTATACTGTGGGGGGGTAGCTGTACCTGTCCCTCCTCCCCCTGCTCCAGGGTCACAGTCCCATTTTCTGGATGAAGCCCAGTTTTTTCCTAAGAGACTCCAGGTACATCTGAGCATCTCTGTGTCTCCCTCCAAGTACCGGGGCTCAGGGAATCCCCAGGGGAGCAGAAGGAGGCCTTAGGGTCCTTGAAGGTCAAAACCCACCCAACACTCCATGGTCCTTAACCGTCTCCCAGACCTACATCGGCTCGGTGCTCATCTCCGTAAATCCCTTCAAGCAGATGCCCTACTTCACTGACCGTGAGATCGATCTCTACCAGGGCGCGGTGAGGCCGGGGTCAGGCGGGAGGAACAACCCAAGACGCCCAGCCCCTGGCCTGGGCTGACACCTGCCCTGCCCCCCCAGGCCCAGTACGAGAACCCCCCGCACATCTACGCCCTCACAGACAACATGTACCGCAACATGCTCATCGACTGTGAGAACCAGTGCGTCATCATCAGGTACGGGGCGGGGGACCCTGATGGACCCTCCAGCCGGCGCCTACTCAAACATCACCTACCCCAAGGGTGGTTTCCTGGAACTCCCAGTCCCAACAGCCTTGCTGTCCCTCTCTGCCCCTTCCCTCCTCCTGGCTTACTTCCCTCGCACCAGGTCACTCCCGGTATATTTTATTGATTCATTCTGTCACTGGCCATCTGTCCCTTGTAAATGTCAGCTCCATGAGGACAGGGATTTCCATCTGTCTTGGTCACCACTGTGTCCCCAGTCCCTGGAATAGTGCCGGGTACACCATAGGTGCTCAATCAATGAATGAGTGATGGGGCAGGCACCTCTACCACCCCCACCCACTGATCACTCTTTCTTCCCTCTACCCCAGTGGAGAGAGTGGAGCTGGGAAGACAGTGGCTGCAAAATACATCATGGGCTACATCTCCAAGGTGTCTGGCGGGGGAGAGAAGGTCCAGGTGAGCGGCAGCAACAGGACAGGCCGGGTCTCCCCCAGCTGCATCTCTGCTCCACCTGACCCCGACTGACCTCTTTCCACCTGCCTCTGCCCGCAGCACGTCAAGGACATCATCCTACAGTCCAACCCGCTGCTGGAAGCCTTCGGCAATGCCAAAACCGTGCGCAACAACAATTCCAGCCGATTTGTAAGTCTCCACCACCCACCTGGAGCAGCTGCTCCCTCCAAGCCAACCTTCTCAACCCCCCAGACCACACACACACACACACACACACACACACCACACATGTTCACACATGCACACACATGCACACACATCACAGACATGCACACACACGCACACACACATGTGCACACTCACACACGTGCACACGTGCACACACACACATACACACACACACAGCCAGGACTACAGTCCCCGTGGAAATTTAGCAGGAAATGCCTACTTCTGGAAAGGAGACTCACTTTCTACTTATGGTCCATTTGAAAAAGGGTCCCCCATTGTCAGGACTGTGGAGGCCATGACCTCTCTGTGTAACATCCCTGGGGCAGCCACGAAATCTTCCTTTTCATATTCCACCTGCCTCTGCCCACAGCACTGTTTAACTGTGTGGCCCAGTTGGAAAAAAAAAAATGATGTCATCTCTTGAGGCTCCCGCTGGCTCATCCATAAACGGAGATGATGTTACACTGCGATGCAAATAGGCCCCACACCTCGCGCCACCCAAACACTCCAACGTGGATATCACTGATCATTGTCCAGTATAAATTTGAAGCTTTTCTTTAACTGCATACTGCAAAATACATATATCCAAAGTGGACCACTCTAATTTTTATGTGGTGCTGAGGATTGAACCCAGCGTTCAATCCATCACCATGGCTCCAGAGTTCCCGCTTGGCCCCTTCGTCAACCTCTACTCCCAGCTGACGGTAGAAGCAACCACTTTTCTGATCTATTGTTTGCCATATATTCGTTTCACCTGCTCTAGAATGTCATCTAAGTGGAATCACATAATATTATTGTTTGAATAATACACATAAAAAACACAGATGAGGGCTGGGGTTGTGGCTCAGTGTCAGAGCACTTGCCTTGCACATGTGAGGCGCGGGGTTCAATCCTCAGCACCACATAAAAATAAGTACTATAACTAAAAACATTTTAAACATTAAAAAAAATGGATGACTGTCAAAACATATATACATTTTACTGTACAATTTTAGTGTACGATACGATAAATAGTCATTACATGCTACAGGTGTTGTGTAAGATGACGATGTAATTTGTATTGGTTTTGGACAGGGGTGGTAGAGGACTTTCTTCCCTCTAACCTCTGGCCAGAGCAGAACTCAGATGGTGTTAGAGACCAAAGAAGGGGTCTTTGGGGCCCTTGTCCTGGGTCTTGGGAGAGCATACAGGAGATGCCAAAGGACCACGGGGATCCACAGCATCCCACAGAGACGTGGAGGCCTCTGTGTTAGGCGCAGGGACTTGGAAACTGGTTGATAAAATGTGATGATCCCAGGACCGTGCATCCAAGCAGGTAGAAAGGTCATTGCTTGCCCAGGGCACAACCTGAGCAAAGGCCAAAGGGGAGCAGCTGGTGAAAGGAGCAAGTACTTTATAAGTGGGTGTAGGAAGAGGAAGGAGAGGGAAGGCCAAGTGAGGAAGAGACAAGAGAAGCAGGCTCCCAAGACCCTTCCTAGGCTTTGGCCACCTGCACTCTGGCCCTGGGGACTAATGTGGTTCTTTGCGATTCAGGGCATTATCATTTATGGTGCATCATAATCATACCTAATAGTGGACTTCAGTGTGACACATTTGTACATGCACATAACGTAATTTGGTCAGTTTAATTTGGACACTGGTCCCACCCAAATGACCCTTGATTTTCTGAGTCTGGTTTATTTTGCTTAACATAAAGCTCTCTAGCTCAATTTGTTTTCCTGCAAATGATGTAATTTCGTTCTTCTTTGTGTAGTCTGTATTCTTACTGGATGGGGGTGATAGAAAGTAAAGCTCCGTCTGTTCAGAGACCACCTTTTCTTTCTCCGTTCACCTGTTGATGGGCCCCTGGGCGGTTTCGTGGCTTGGCTATGTGAATGGTGCATGGATCACTTCGGTGTGATGACTTTAATTCCTTTGGATAAATAGCAAAGAGTGGAATAGCTGGTTCCGTGGTGACAGCTGGTTCAGTGGCGGTGCCATTCCGAGTCCTTTGAGGAACCTCCACACTGACGTCCACTGTGGCTGCACTGAATTGCCACCCCACCACCAGAGTATATGTGTTCCTTTCCCTGCGTCCCTACCAGGATTTACTATTTGTATCCTTGATGTCCCCAGGGCAAGTACTTTGAGATCCAGTTTAGCCGTGGCGGGGAGCCAGATGGGGGCAAGATCTCCAACTTCTTGCTAGAGAAGTCCCGCGTGGTCATGCAGAATGAAAATGAGAGGAACTTTCACATCTACTACCAGGTGCAGGGAAGAGGCCCATGGGGCTGGGCCACAGGAACCCCAAGTGGGCCGCAGGGGTTGGGGAGGGAGATAATGGGAAGGTCAGTGTCCAGGGAGCCCACGAGGGCTGTGCTGGGTCAGCTCCAGAAGCTTGAGCATCGCTCACCCTCCAGCTGCTGGAAGGGGCCTCGCAGGAGCAGCGCCAGAACCTGGGGCTCATGACGCCCGACTACTATTACTACCTCAACCAGTCAGACACCTACAAGGTGGATGGCACCGATGACAGCAGCGACTTCAGCGAGACCCTGGTGAGTACCAGACACCACTGCAGCCCTCAGCCAGTCCTTAAGCCAGGGAAAACCCTCTCATGTTATAAATAAGGTAACTGAAGCCCAGAGAGGAACAGAGACTTGTCCAAGGTCACCCAGCAAGTGAATGAAAGAGCCAGGCCAGGCACCCCAAATGTTCTGACTCTGAATCTATGCTGTGGCCCCAGGGGCAGGGTGGAAGCCAAGGTTGGTTTTCCCTGTTGTGCCCACAGAGTGCCATGCAAGTCATTGGGATCCCGCCCAGCGTCCAGCAGCTGGTTCTGCAGCTGGTGGCAGGGATCCTACACCTAGGGAACATCAGTTTCTGTGAAGAGGGGAATTACGCCCGGGTGGAGACTGCAGACCGTGAGTGTGGGCGCTGGGGAGAGAGGGGAGCCTACATGTGTGTGTGAACTGCTTCCTCCTGATTCAGAACCCAAGAGGACAATGTCATTGTCACTGGGCAAGATGTGGAATCCCAAGAGGCTGACCTTGTCCCCTTTTGCCCTGGCCTGGCAGTCCTGGCCTTTCCTGCCTACCTGCTGGGCATTGACAGTGGGCGGCTGCAGGAGAAGCTGACCAGCCGCAAGATGGACAGCCGCTGGGGCGGACGCAGTGAGTCCATTAACGTGACCCTCAACGTGGAGCAGGCAGCCTACACCCGTGACGCCCTGGCCAAGGGACTCTATGCTCGCCTCTTTGACTTCCTGGTGGAGGCGAGTGGAACCGGGGCTGCGGGACATGGGCTGTGGGGCTAGGTGGGCACCCAGTGCCTACCAAGTCCTGGGCTTGAGCCCACCAAGCGGAAGAGGCAGACTTGACTCCTCATCTCACCAACTCCTGGCTGGGGATGGAGGCGACTCTCAGCACAGGCGATGGGGGATGGGTGGGAGATCCGGAAGCTCCTGTGGCTGTGGCACGGAGCCCCAGAGGGAAGGGGCTGCTGGAGACTCCAGACCTGGACTGGCATCAAGGCAATGAGGATGGGGGGTACATTTGAGAGCCAGGAGGAGGAGAGTTGAGGGGACAAAGTGACAGAAAGATGGGGGCAGAAAGGAACAGGACGTGTCAGGGCCAGTAACAGTCAGGACCGTAACAAACACGTATAGCCTTTAGGCACCGTCCTAAGTGTTCTATGTGCATCGACTTCTTGGATCTTCAGAAAAAGACCCATAAAGTACAGATTAAGCATCCCTAATCTGAAAATCCCAAATCCCAAATGCTCCAAAATCCAAGACTTTTGAGCACTAAAATGATACCACAAGTGGAAAATTCTGCCCCTGACCTGATAGACTGTCAAAATGCAGATATGCCAGGCACGGTGGTGCAGGCCTGTAATCCCAGTGACTCAGGAGGACTGCAAGTTCAAAGCTAGCCTCAGCAACTTAGTGAGTCCCTAAGCAACTTGGGAAGTCCCTGTGTCAAAAAAAAAAAAATATATATATATATATATATATATATATATGGAGATGTAGTTCAGTGGTAAATTGCCCCTGGTAATCATACATATATAATATGAAGGTACACTAAAAATATTGTATAAAATGAACTTCAGGCTATGGGTAGAGAGTGCATATGAAAGAAGTGAGATTTGTGTTTGGATTTAGGTCTTATCCCCAAAACATCTCATTATATATCTGTAAATATTCCAAAATCAAAACTCTGAAATACTTCTGGTCCCAAGCCTTTCAAATAAGGAATACTCACCCTATAGTTGGTTTGTGTTTGTTTGTTTTAGAGCTGGGAACTGACCTCAGGAGCACTTTACTACTGAGCTACATCTCTAGTCTTTTTCTTTTTTATGTTGAGATGGGGTCTCACTAAATAGCTGAGGCTGGCCTCCAACTTGTAATCCTCCTACATCAGCCTCCTGAGCTGCTGGGATGACAGGCAAGCACCACTATGCCTAGCTATAGTTGCTTTTTAATTAGTTTTTGCAGTGCTGGGAATCAAACCCAAGTCCTCACATATGCCCACAGGTGCTCTAACACTAACTATACCCCCAACCCAGTAGCTGCTATAATTAATCCATTCTTTTGTATATGTGTGTGGTGCTGGTGATTTGAACCCAGGGCCTTGTGCATGCAAGGCAAGCACTCTACCAACTAAGCTGTATCCCCAGCCCAATCCATTCTTTTAATTAATTTATTTTTTGAGATGAGTCTCACTGTTGCCCAGGCTGGTCTTGAGCTACTGATCTCAAGGGATTCTCCTGCCACAGCTTCCCGAGCATTGACACTACAGGTGTGCACCATGACACCTAGCTTATTAATTCGCTTTAGAGATGAGGAAACAGAGACACAGAGAGGTTAAGTGGCAGACGTGGCTGCCAGATCAGGAACCCCGATACTCAAACACTTGGATCTCTCATAAGGGTGACTTATTACAAGGTGGGAGGACAGAACATGGCAGTAGAGAGAAATTGGTGAGAGGGGACATGGTCCATGAGCACAGCTAAGAGCACATCAGGAGAGTGCTGACCAGATGCCCACTGACTGCTGTTCCCGCCACACTACAGGCCATCAACCGCGCGATGCAGAAGCCCCAGGAGGAGTACAGTATCGGTGTCCTTGACATCTACGGCTTTGAGATTTTCCAGGTCTGGCCACTGTACCTCCAACCCCCAGCCCACACCTGTCCTCCATACAACCTGGGGTAGCCCGTGGCCACCTAGCATCAGCCCACTGATGGAGGGACCCCTTTTCTCCCTGGCAGAAAAATGGTTTTGAGCAGTTCTGCATCAACTTCGTCAATGAAAAGCTGCAACAAATCTTCATCGAGCTCACCCTGAAGGCTGAGCAGGTGGGCAGCGCAGCCAAGTGGCATGGGATGGGTATCGGGGTGGGGTAGGACCTTGAGAGTCACCGAGCCACTGGGGAGACCCAAGCCCCTGGTCCCCACCTCCCTGCTTGCCCTCTGTCAGCCAGCTTCCCAGCACCACCATGAAATCCCAGCATCATCAACTCAGAGAGAAAGGGTTATTCTGGCCCACGGCTTTGGAGATTCCCGTCTAAGACTGGATGGACCCATATAGCTTTGGGCCTCTGGTGGGGGTGCCAGATGGCAAAGCACATGTCAGAATAAACTGCTCACCTCGTGGCCAGGAAGCAAGAGAGAGAGAGAGGAAGGGGAGGGTCCCATAAGTCCCTTCAAGGACATACCCCCAATGGCCTAAAGACTCGCACTAGGCCCCATCTCCCCTAAGTGCCACCACCTCCCAAGAGCACCACTCCGTGGACCAGGCCATCATACAAGCCTTTGGGGGATACTCAGCATCTGCACTGCAGCCCCTGCCAGCACACCACTGCATTTCCCTCTGCCTCGGAAGCTGGTGGTTTATCCACCAGGTCCTGTTGAGTGTCCATCTGGGAGGACCAGAAGCAGGGACATGGTTCCCTGGCACTTCCTGCCTGCCCCACCCAGGGCCAGAGACAGGCCTGGGAGAAGAGATGGGTGGCACTGGGCACAGCTCCTCCATCCACTCCTCCCGCCCCCTTCCCCCCCAGGAGGAGTATGTGCAGGAGGGCATCCGCTGGACCCCCATCGAGTACTTCAACAACAAAGTCGTCTGTGACCTCATTGAAAACAAGCTGGTGAGGACTGACCCACTTCCAGAGGTCTCACTGGGCCCTGGAGCTGGGCCTAGGAGACCCGGGAGTGGGTTATGGCAGCCTAGGGCCCCTCTAGCCTAGGCCCAGGTCTCCAGCAGATGAAGCACAACTGAAATATCCCCTCAGCCACCTGATGCGTGGCCTCTGCCCCTCGGCTCAGCTTTCATTTCTTCACTGGACAATCCCCTGGGCTCAGAGGGGTCAAAGTCATGAATTCCTCCTGGGGGTCCCCCACTCTCTCCTGCACCCCATGGAGCACACATTTCTAAGTCCTTTACCACCAAAAACCACTTTTTCCCGCCCGCGGGAAGGAACCCTGGGTCTCGAGGTTAGGCAGGTGCCTTTCCACTGAGCGACACCAGCCCCACTGCCGCCATCGGGGCTAGTATTACGGGCCCTCGCCGCCTGCTCCAGCCCTCTGCACCTGCTCACCTTTGGGCTTCCTCTCTGGGGCTGGCGACTGGCCAGGGCAGGACCAGCCGACTAAGTTGCCCTCTGCTCGCCCTGCAGAGCCCCCCAGGCATCATGAGCGTGCTGGACGACGTGTGCGCCACCATGCACGCCACAGGCGGAGGTGCTGACCAGACGCTGCTGCAGAAGCTGCAGGCGGCCGTGGGGACCCACGAGCACTTCAACAGCTGGAGCGCGGGGTTCGTCATCCACCACTACGCTGGCAAAGTGCGTGCCCCCGCGCCCGCCCCACCCGCTGTACTCCCCCCAGGCGACCCCTCACAGACCCCAAGGGCTCCAGCTTGCAGCCCTCCAACACCCAGATGGGAAGGATGCTGCCAGGACCCCCAGCCAGGGCCGCAGTGTTCCACCAACATCCTCCTCTGGCTCTCTCCCTACTGACCACAATGATGAACCCATGGACCGCAGCCACCACCAAACCGGGAGCTCTTCCCTCAAACTGCCTGCACCCACCCCTGGGCCCCCCAAGGAACTCTCTGGTCTCTGATCAGGGCCATAGCCTGCTCAGCCAAAAGGGCAGCTGCCCCAGTAGACAGGCAGGACAACTTGGGCAGCAGGCACCAGTCCCTCCCCTCTGCCCAGAAAACCCCCAACTTCAATGTGAGCAGCAGCCCCTGACTCTGGAACCCCCCTTCTTATCCCATTTTGGAAAGTAAATCTCCCAGGCCCCCAGGCCCATGGTACAGGTTCCCTGCAGACCCTACCCAAGGCTCCAGCAAGCTCCTCCCTGGCCACTGCCTCTTCCCCACTGGGAGGACTATAGACCCTCTCCTCATGCTCTTGACTTCATGGGGCAGCAGACATTCTCAGGGGCCCCTGCCCAGGCTGCCTCCCACCATCCCCCAAAACAGGTGGCAGTGCCTGTCCTCAGCCAGGGCTGCAAAAGCGGGTGTATAAAGAGCCCCCTCTTTAGAAAGCAGCCCCAGCCCAGCATCCCTTATCAAGAGCCAGGGCTGTAGACCCTCCCCAAACACAGCACCCCCAACCCCCAAGTGACCAGGATGAGGTGATCCAACCTTCGGAGTTAATATTAAGCAGCAGACTCCTGGGCACCCCCTCCCGGGCTGCAGTTCCCCACCCTCCAATCTGAACCCTAACTCCTACCTCGCCTTGGCTCTGATCCAAGGAGCAGGATTTCAACCCCCACATCCCTTCACGTGACTTGGGGTCACACACTCCAACTTGAACTTCAGACTTCCAGGGAGCCCTGGCACCAGAGGTAACCCCCAATCCTCTATTCTAAACCAGAGATCACCCCAAACCAGAGCTGTAGCTAACTCTCATCTTCTCACCCCAGAGCAGGTCCACCCCCACACACCCAGTCTCTGGGCCTCACCCCCATGACCCCCCCACCCTCCAGGTCTCCTATAACGTCAGCGGCTTCTGCGAGAGGAACCGGGATGTCCTCTTCTCTGACCTTATAGAGCTGATGCAGACCAGCGAGCAGTGAGTGGCCCGGGTGTGGGGCCTCCAGGCAGAACCCCCATGGGGATGGAGGGAGGATTGGGGACCACTCCATCTTCCCCAGAGCTCCCACTGTGGCACTGATGCTGTGGGGGTGGCTCTGTGGCCAAGGCATGGTTCTGATCTCAGAGAATCTCCAGGTGCTGGGGATGTAGCTCAGTGGTAGAGCCTGGCGTGCTGGGGCTCTGGGTTCCATCCCAAGTACAGGTTTGTGAGAGCAGCTCCAGGTACTCAGGGTCCCCAGCAGAGACATCTGAGTCGGATTCTTACATCTCCCTCCAGGAGCCCAGGCACCCATTGATGACTATGAATCAGCCTCCTTATATCAAAGAAAACATTTGGCATTTGTTTTTTTTTTGGGGGGATTGGCTAACTTCATTTAGCATTATCTTCTCTGACTCCATCCATTTACCTGCAAATGCCATGATTTTATTCTCTTTTATTGCTCTGTAATATTCCATTGTGTATATATGCCACATTTTTTTATCCATTCATTCCCTGAAGGGCATCTAGATTGGTTCCATTGTTTAGCTATTGTGAATTGTGCTGCTATAAACATTGATGTGGCTGTGTTCCTGTACTAGGCTGTTTTTAAGTTCTTTGGGTATAGACTGAGGAGAGGGACAGCTGGGTCAAATTGTGGTTCCATTCCCAATTTTCCAAGAAATCTCCATACTGCTTTCCATATTGGCTGCACCAATTTGCAGTCCCACCAGCTGTGTATGAGTGTGCCTTTTTCCCACATCCTCGACAACATTTATTGTTGTTTGTATGCGTAATAGCTGCCATTCTGCCTGGAGTGAGATGAAATCTTAGAGTGGTTTTAATTTGCATTTCTCTAATTGCTAGTGATGATGAACATTTTTTCATGTATTTGTTGATTGATTGTACATCATCTTCTGAGAAGTGTCTCTTCAGATCCTTGCCCATTTATTGATTGTTATTTATTTATTTTTTTGGTGTTTAGCTTTCTGAGTTCTTTATACACCCTAGTGATTAGTGCTCTATCTGATGTGTGAGGGGTAAAGATTTGCTCCCAAGATGTAGGCTCTTTATTCACCTCACAGATTGTTTCTTTGGCTGCGAAGAAGCTTTTTAGTTTGAGTCCATCCCATTTATTGATTTTTGATTTTAATTCTTGTGCCACAAGAGTCTTATTAAAGAATTTGTGGCCTAATCCCACAGGATGGAGATTAGGGCCTACTTTTTCTTCTAATAGATGCAGGGTCTTTGGTTGTATTCCTAAGTCTTTGATCTATTTTTGAGTTGAGTTTTGTGCATTGTGAGAGATAGGGGATTAATCTCATTTTGTTGCATATGGATTTCCAGTTTTCCCAGCACCATTTGTTGAAGAGGCTATCTTTTCTCCAATGAATATTCTTGGGACCTTTGTCTAATATAAGATAATTGTAGTTTTGTGGGTTAGTCTCTGTGTCCTCTACTCTGTACCATTCACCAGTCTGTTTTGGTCCTAATACGATGCTGTTTCTGTTACTATTGCTCTGTAATATAGTTATCTCAACATCATAAAGGCTATCTATGCTAAGCCCCAGGCCAACATCATTCTAAATGGAGAAAAATTGAAGGCATTCCCTCAAAAAACTGGAACAAGACAGGGATGTCCTCTTTCACCATTTCCATTTAACATAGTTCTTGAAACACTGGCCAGAGCAATTAGACAGATGAAAGAAATTAAAAGGTTACACATAGGAAAAGAAAAACTCAAATTGGCACTATTTGCTGATGATATGATTCTAATCCTGGAAGACCCTAAAAGTTCACCAGAAAACTCCTAGAACTCATAAATGAATTCAGCAAAGAAGCAGGATATAAAATCAACACCCATAAATCAAAGGCATTTCTATATATCAGTAACAAATCCTAAGAAAGGGAAATGAGGAAAACTACTCCATTCTCAATAGCCACCCCAAATAATAAAATACTTGGGAATCAACTTAACAAAAGAGGTGAAAGATCCATATAATGAAAATTATAGAACCCTAAAAGAAAGAAATCAAAGAATACCTTATAAGATGGAAAGATCTACCTTGCTCTTGGATAGGCAGAATTAATATTATCAAAATGACCATACTGGGCTGGGGATGTGGCTCAAGTGGTAGCACGCTCGCCTGGCATGCGTGCGGCCCGGGTTCGATCCTCAGCACCACATACAAACGAAGATGTTGTGTCCACCAAGTACTGAAAAATAAATATTAAAAAAATTCTCTTTCTCTCTCTCTCTCTCTCTCTCTCTCTCTCTCTCTCTTTTAAAAAAAATGACCATACTTCCAAAAGCACTATACAGATTTAATGCAATTCTGATCAAAATTCCAATGACATTCCTTATAGAAATAGAAAAAGCAATCATGAAATTTATCTGGAAAAATAAGAGACCCAGAATAACTAAAGCAATCCTTAGCAGGAAGAGTGAAGCAAGTGGCATCACTATACAGAGTCTGCATTTTAATAAGACCCTCCCAGACCCCCTGAGGATCCAAGGGCACATCAGAATTTGAGAACCATTTGTTTAGATCAGGGCTGTCCAATATAATCATATCCAACATCATTCAAGTAATGATTTTTAAACAGCCTTATTGAGGTGTAATTTCCATGTCATTAAGTTTTCCCATTTATGAAATGTAGAATCTAATGACTTGTAGTAAATTGACAGAATGTAGGTGCAGCCATCACCACAATTCAACTTCAGAATGTTTATTTCACCCTAAAAAGATTCCTCATGTCAATCTATAGTTAATCCCCACTTCCACCACCTGTAGAGTTCTAGTAAGCACACTTAAAAAGTGAAAAGGTGGACTAATGAAACAGGTAAAATTAAATATGTTCTAGTTAACTCAATATCATTCACACACACACACACACACACACACACACACACACCAGGGCCTCACACCAGGCAAGTGCTCTACCACTGAGCTACATCCCAAGCCCTTTATTATTTTGAGACAGGGGCTCATTGAGTGGCCCAGCCTGGCCTCAAACTTGTGATCCTCCTACCTCAGTCTCCTCAATCCAGCTATTCAGTCACACACCACTACAAAATATTACCATTTTTAACATATAACCAATGTAAAAAAAAAAAAAAAAAGAAAGAAACATTTCACAGTTTTTGGTCTTTGGATTCCAGTGTATACTTTAATAATTGCAGCATGTCTCAATTATGAACAGGCCACACTTCAAGGACCTCAGTAGTGAGATGGGACCAGTGGCCGCCACATTGGAAAACACAGAACTAGAATCATGATTCTCCTGGTGGGGTCCCTAGACCCACAGCATCAGCATCACCTGCGAACTCATTAGACATTATTGGTCAGCCTGGTGCAGTGGTGCGCACCTGTGATCCCAGTGATTGGAGAGCCTGAGACAGAAGTTCACGGCCAGCCTCAGCAATTTAGTGAGACCTTCAGCAACTTAGACTTTGTCTCAGTAAAAAATGAGATCTATGGATTTCACTCAGTGATAAAACACTCCTGGGTTCAATCCCCAGTACCAAAA